CAGAAGCGTATTCTAGAGAAGATGGAGCGTAACCCGAGTGGTCTGTATACTACGACCATACGCCCCATAGAATGCCACTATGTGGCCGGCCCTACCACAGGGACCGCGCACGAAATTACACTTTGGCATGATCGTTTGGGACATCCTGGACGAATAGCGATGCGCCGTATCCTCAAAACTTCACACGGGCATCCACTAACCCGAAGCTTAGGTTCGATCCATGAAATTGCATGCCAAACATGTTCTATGGGAAAGCTTATTACTAAGCCTTCTTATGACAAGATTCGTTCGAATCCTCCCATTTTTCTACAACGGATTCAGGGGGACATTTGTGGACCGATTCAACCTCCCTGCGGACCATTTAGATATTTTATGGTTTTGGTTGACGCTTCTACACGTTGGTCACACGTGTGCTTGTTGTCCACAAGGAACGCTGCATTCTCCAAACTGTTGGCTCAGGTTATCAAGCTCAGGGCTCACCACCCTGATTATCCGATCAAATCTATTCGATTGGATAATGCTGGAGAATTCACATCTAAAACTTTTGATGACTATTGCATGTCGGTTGGGGTTGAAGTTGAACATCCTGTACCCCATGTTCACACCCAGAACGGCCTGGCAGAGGCTTTCATTAAGCGTTTACAAATGATTGCTCGATCGTTGGTCATACGTACCAAGCTCCCGATCGCTGCTTGGGGCCATGCAATATTGCACTCAGCAAAGTTGGTCCGCCTGAGGCCTGTTGCGACATAACCATTTAGTGCCCTTCAGTTGGTCACCGGATGCGAACCCGACATATCGCATCTGCGCGTTTTTGGTTGTGCGGTCTATGTGCCGATCTCGCCGACCTTACGTACAAAAATGGGGCCTCAGCGAAGGATGGGAATCTATGTCGGATATGATTCTCCTTCGATTATTCGTTACTTAGAACCTTTGACAGGCGATCTGTTTACCGCTCGTTTCGCGGATTGTCACTTCTATGAGACAGTCTTCCCGTCGTTAGGGGGAGATAAGAACGTCAACGTTCCTAATGAACGACGCGAATTATCGTGGACGACTCCCACTTTGTCTCATTTAGATCCCCGCACCGCTCAGTCTGAAGCTGAAATGCAGCGCATATTAGATCTCCAGAGCATAGCTCAGAGCATGCCAGATGCTTTCACCGATCTAGCGCGCGTGACAAGATCACATATTCCAGCTGCGAATACGCCTGCAAAGATGGATGTACCAAATGTACGACGGACTACCCTCCTGGAAGCCCGGGACGCCAATTCTGGTGATCCACGTACATTAGCGGCTAGCCAATCATCTGCCCCTACACAAAAGCGTGGCAGACCCCTTGGTTTAAAGGATTCACACCCCCGGAAGAGGAAAACCACGGCACAAGGTCCTGAAGAGCCTACCGTGAATCCGACTATCGCTTACTCATTTTACCCAACTCATGAGGAAATTCTAGATTATGGAAGCGTCCTTGAAGAGACGAATCCTCCTCCCGAGAATCGTGAGATTTCGGTCTATTATGCTAGCTTAGATGATGTGTGGCGTAGAAATGAGATGATTGTCGACGATGCATTAGCATTTGCAGTAGCTACTGAGATCATGTTGAGCGATGACATTGAACCGCGTTCCGTTGATGAATGTCGACGTAGAGCTGATTGGTCAAACTGGAAACAAGCAATCCAAGTCGAACTTGATTCACTTGAGAAACGTAAGGTGTTTGGACCTGTAGTTCCTACTCCTCCACATGTGAAGCCCATTGGCTACAAGTGGGTTTTCGTTCGGAAGCGTAATGAGAAGAACGAAATTGTGCGTTACAAAGCTCGTCTTGTAGCACAAGGTTTCTCACAACGCCCCGGGATTGACTATGACGAAACTTACTCACCCGTTATGGATGTGATTACTTTTCGATACCTTATCAGTTTGGTAGTTTCCGAAAAACTGGATATGCAGCTGATGGACGTAGTAACCGCGTATCTCTATGGGGATCTTGATACGGAAATTTATATGAAAGTTCCCGAAGGACTTACATTGACTGGTTCAAATATTTCCAAACCCCGGAACACGCTCTCAATTCGGCTGAGGCGTTCACTATACGGTTTGAAACAATCCAGAAGAATGTGGTATAACCGTTTAAGTGAGTATTTGACTAGTCAGGGATATGTGAATAACGAACTATGCCCTTGTGTGTTCATTAAGAAGTCACATTCCGGATTTGCGATTGTTGCAGTATATGTCGATGACATGAATCTCATCGGAACTCCTGAAAAGCTCGCGAGAACTGCTTCGCACCTGAAGTCGGAATTTGAGATGAAAGATCTAGGTAAGACTCGATACTGTCTCGGTCTCGAGATAGAGCATTGTTCGGATGGAATCCTAGTACATCAATCGAACTACACCCAGAAGGTGTTGCGCCGTTTTAATGAGGATAAAGCGAAGTCTTCGAGTACTCCTATGGTCGTTCGTACGCTAGATGCAAAGCGAGATCCCTTCCGTCCGAAGGAGGATGATGAAGAGATTTTGGAGCTTGGAGTTCCTTATCTAAGTGCGATAGGCGCTTTATTGTACTTAGCTCAATGCACTAGACCCGACATCTCCTTCGCTGTTAATCTTTTGGCAAGATACAGCAATGCACCGACACGCAGACATTGGACTGGCGTGAAAGACATCTTCCGTTACCTTAAGGGTACTACGGATTTGGGCTTATTCTATCCCTACGAATCCTCGAGTGATGCCGCACCCTATGCTCATCGGGTTGATTCTCGCCTTGTTGGTTATGCCGACGCTGGATACTTATCTGATCCGCACAAGGCGCGTTCTCAAACGGGTTATGTCTTTACCGTTGGAGGCACCGCAATATCTTGGAGGTCAACTAAACAGACCTTAGTTGCCACTTCGTCTAACCATGCTGAAATTCTCGCCTTACATGAAGCAACTCGGGAATGCTTTTGGTTGAGAGCAGTAGTGGGCCATATTCGAAGCTCCTGTGATCTTCATCCCGCCGTTAATACCCCGACGACGATTTTTGAAGACAACGCAGCTTGCATCGAACAGCTCAAGAAGGGTTACATCAAAGGAGACAACACCAAGCATATTGCGCCGAAGTTCTTCTTTACATATCAACTACAAGAGCATCAGAAGATTGAAGTCACGCAAATCCGATCACAAGACAATCTGGCCGACCTCTTCACCAAATCACTACCGAAGGCGACGTTTCAGAAGCTTGTTCATGGAATTGGTATGCGTAAACTTTCTGAGTTGTAACTTTGCTATTTCTCTTTGGAATTATGTCAAACTCAGGGGGAGTATCTTCTGGATACTTGCTTGATCTTAATGTACTCTTTTTCCCTACGATTAGGAGCATTTTTCCCACTGGGTTTTTGCTACCTAACTAGGTTTTAACGAGGCACCCACCTTGGGCTGGTCATATCCCTGATGACGTCCTGTAGACGTTTCTTTTGACTTTGCATTTCTCACGCATTTTTCCTTAGACTATGGATTTTGTCCCTACTTGGGTTTTTGCCATAGCCTTAGGGTTTTTAGTGAGACTTACTACTTATGCAAGTTCCTACCTTATTGAGAATAAGCGTTGTTCCTTGGAATCAATGCCGACGAGTCGACTTCCTCAACTTCTGCATGATGCTGAATCTACCTTGAGTATTTACACACTCAAGGGGGAGTGTTGTAAACATTTCTAGTTTAAGTATGATTGTGTAAATCCTAGATAAGATTTGATTCTAGTTATCCTTTCCTATTACAACTTGTATTACTTGGAGAAGAAGGAATATCTTCTCTCCCTTTACTACTATAAATAAAGGCACAATGTAGGAGGGATAACAACACACACATTCCCCTACAATTCTACAAACACACATCTCTCTCCTCTCTCTCTCTGCCGCCGGCCCTAGTCCATCTGTCAGATAAAATAGACCACAACAAGAAGAGCTTTATAAACCCTTTCTTTAATCATGCGAGCTTAGCAAAATATTTTTTATTATAACTTTATTTTCTTTCAAGTATTTTTATATTTCTTTGTGTTGCTCACAATTGATATAATGTGGAAAGTGTGGTGATAGCTTCGTATCTCTTTAGTACGAATTGTCTCAAGTCTCTTTCTCTGTGTAAGTCCAATGATTTTGGTTTTGTTTTTACAATTTGTATAAAAACTTTCAATCATGTAACTACAAAACAATTAACTTAAAGTCCCTCAAACCCAAAAAATAATTAACTTCAAGGAGAAACAAATGGAATTAGTAAAAAGCAAAGACATCGTTTATTCACAATTCATCTATTCAATTCTAAAATTAGCTTATATTCCTCTAATGTTGCACACAAAGCAAACTAAAAGGTCATGGAATGTTTAAAATAGCTAGCAATGTCTTATGCTAGCAACATACAAAACTAACCCTTCGTCCTACATGTGCTCAAAAAATGTAGTCTTATTCTCTTCGAAAGCCACATTGACGGTTTCTCATATTTATTACTATAGCCAACTTTAGAGTATAGTAATTTGAAAATTTCCATCTCTAATCAGACTTTCATTCCTAATACAAGTAAGCATACTAGAGCCAAGTCACATGTACATGCCTAACAAAAGTTTAGTCCATTTTTACCACAAAAAAATGAAATAAAATAACCAATAATATTCTTGTTTGACGATATGACGAATTTACTCTTACTAGAGACACCAATTTGTTTTTTTTTTCTTTTAGGTAAATCAAGACATCAACTTATTAGTTTTTGCATCAATTTTTTAGATCCCAAATTTCGTGGCAATGTTTCAACACGTTTTCTGTTCACATTTTACAACAAATAAGAATTTGCATTGTGACTTGGTTAACAATAACTGGTGTCTCTTGCACTATTATTATGTTTATCATTTCTTACATACATCTAATATTGGACCTGTAATCTGATTGGCATCTCAATGTAAAATCAGATGTGTTTGGTAGCTGGAGAATATATTCTCAATTTGCATTCCAATTTGTAGATAATAACTCTTCTTCATGCATTCACTGCAACAGATAGACTCCATTCAATAGCTGCAATGAGCACCGAGCAGCAGAATGCTTCTTCGTCTTCTTACCGGTGCACATATGATGCATTCTTGAGTTTCAGAGGCGCAGATACACGCAAGGGCTTTACAGATCACCTCTACAGTGCTTTGGAGTTGGCAGGAATCCACACTTTTAGAGATGATGATGAAACTGAGAGAGGAGCAAACATTGAACAGGAGCTACAGACAGCGATACAAGAGTCACGAGTATCAGTCATAGTTTTCTCCAAGGACTACGCCTCTTCCAGGTGGTGCCTGAATGAACTTGCTATCATCATGGAACGTAAAAGAACAGATGGACACATGGTTATCCCGGTTTTCTATGATGTGGAACCATCAGATGTCAGGAAGCAGACGGGCAGTTTTGCATAATCATTTACTAGACATGAAGAGCGCTTCAAGGACGAGATAGACAAGGTGGAGGAGTGGAGACGAGCTCTAGAAATGTTGCAGACCTGGGAGGGATGGTTTTAGGAGAACTGTAATTTTTCATTCCCTCCTATATTCAGTCAAGTAAATCAGATGCTAGTCTCAAGCTTGTGAAAGTTTTAGCTTTTCTTTAAAAAATAAAAATAAAAAATAAATAACTTGCTCATGTTTTTTCTTTTGGTCTGAAAAGAAAGAACTTACTGTGCCTCATATTTTTTGATATCAATAACATATAGGTACGAGTCACAGTCAAGGATTTAAATATCGATATTATCGGCGATATTTCGCCGATAATATCGTTTTTTACAGAGACCGATTTTTTTACACATATCCAGTCATTTATCGTCAAAATATCGCGATATTATCGATAATATCGCGATATTATCGATATTACCGATAATATCGCCGAGCTCCGTCGTCAGCGACCGGAGCTGCTAAGATCTACGCGATTTGGGGGGGGGAAAGAGTCGGGAAGAGGAGTCGCGGAGAAGAGGAGTCGCGGGGGCGCGAGAGTAGCGGAGAAGAGGAGTCGTGAGGGGGGGAAGGAAGAACGGTTGCGCAGCTGGGTGGTGGATTTGAGCGGTGGGGGGGAAGAACAGTTGCGCAGCTGGGTGGTGGATTTGAGCAGTTTGAAGAAAGTTTCTGCGGAGGGGCTGTGGGAAGCGGTTTGAAGAAAGTTTTTGTGAAGGGGTTGTGGGAAGAAGAGTCGCAGAGAAGAGGGGTCTGGGAATCTGCAGAGAGGGGGGACGGTGGGCTTTGGGAATCTGGAGAGAATGGTTCGGGGGGGTGGCTGGGAAGAACAGTTGCGGAAGGGAGTTGTTTATGTGGATTTGAGTGGTTTGAAGAAATTTTCTGTGGGTTTGAGTGGTTCGAAGAAAAAGGAAGGAGAGGACTGCAGGAGCTGCAGAGAAGAGATGTGGATTTGAGTGGTTTGAAGAAATTTTCTGTGGGTTTGAGTGGTTCGAAGAAAAAGGAAGGAGAGGACTGCAGGAGCTGCAGAGAAGAGATGGGGGGACCGGAGAGAAGAGATGTGGGTTTAAAGTGTAAAATATTGTACTAATTCATTATATATAAATGATTATGATGTGTTTAAATTAGATTATTATTCATTAAATTAGGTTTTTTTTATTATCAAATTAGATTATTATTCATTAAATTGGATTATTATCAAATTAGATTATTCATTAAATTGGATTATTATCAAATTAGATTATTATTCATCACCATGTTTTATATTAGGATTATTTTTTTATGAAATTGGATTATTATTCATTAAATTGGATTATTATGAAATTGGATTATTATTCATTAAATTGGATTATTCATTAAATTGGATAACTACTCTTCACAATACACTCACTCTACACATAGAGATGATGAAGATAGTGAAAATTTTGAACCTCATAAGAACTCTATGTGGTACTAAGTCACTTATGTATCTTACCATGCAATGTATAAAGTGTAAAATATTGTACTAATTCATTATATATAAATGATTATGGTGTGTTTAGACTTCTTTCATTAATTACTACATATTTTCTACACTCACAATGTTTGTCAGCTCGCTATATAATCAACTTGATAATGTTAAATCCATCATGCAATGCATTTCTTTCCAATTTTTTGTGATAAACTAATAGATAATTGACTAAATAAACATCCTACAAAGTTTCAATAAAAATTTCCAAGTTTTTCTTACAATTTCCGTGGTTTCCATGTAATTTTTATCGATATCGATATTTTACCGATATTTCCATCGATATTTCCGTGTTTTCGGACTACCGATATTTCCGATATTACCGATATTTAAATCCTTGGTCACAGTTTATCCAAGATATTGTCGAAGCGGTTGGAAATAAACTGGACTACATGAGGAATAGGAGATTAAGAGTTGATCCCTATGTTATTGAAAGAGGTTATTATGTGGAAAGCCTAAACATGTGATTACTGAGGGAAAATGCGGTACCCACCTTTGACGTGATTACTGAGGGAAAAATTCAAAAGATTCTTTGCATGAGTTTTGATTCTTTACAAGATCATGATAAACGTTTATTCCTCCATATAGCCTGTTTCTTCATAGGAAAAGACAAGGATTTTGCAACTACAATCCTTCATGAATGTGATTTTGCGACAGAAGTTGGACTTCAACACCTAGTTGATAGATGCCTTGTGGAAATTAATGCCTGCAACAAGTTAACCATGCATCAATTGCTTGAAAACATGGGAAGGGCAATAATTCGCGATGAATCACCTGAGGACCCTGGAAAACGCACTAGACTGTGGCATAAAAAAGAAGCAAGTGACGTTTTGAGAAATTTAACGGTACGAAACATGATCTTTAACTGTATTTATTTGCATTGGTGTTCTACATGTGACTAGTAACTTATCCAATGCTCTTATTTGGTGGCAGGGTACGAGAAGTATTAAGGGCCTCATGCTCCACTGTCCCTCAACATTTGAAACAAAGGCATTTACAAAGATGCTCAATCTTGAACTACTTCTGCTTGATAATGTAAAGTTGAGTGGAAGCTATGAAGATTTTCCAAAAAAATTAATATGGCTGTCTTGGCGAGGATTCTCTTTAAAATCAATTCCAGCCAATTTTTGTATGGAAAATCTAGTTGTTCTTGACTTACGGAAGAGCAGTCTGCAACATGTTTGGAACGGAACCAAGGTATCTTCTAATCTCTCTCTCTCTCTCTCTCTCTCTCTCTCTCTCTCTCTCATTACGCACAAACAAAAAAAAATCAGTGAAACTAAACTGTGCATTCATAGCAACTAATGACTTCTATTTGATACAGATTCTTACAAGATTGAAAATTCTTAATCTCAGTCATTCACATGGCCTTAGGACAACATCTGACTTGTCCGGACTCCCCAACCTTGAGAAACTAATTCTTAAGGATTGCATTAATTTGGTTGATGTTGATGAATCCATTGGAAATTTGGGGAAACTTGTTTTCTTGAATCTAAAAGATTGCAAAAGTCTTATGAAGCTTCCAAAAAGAATGAACATGTTGAGGTCTCTTGAGGAACTTATTCTTAATGGTTGCTCAAAGCTTGGTCCTCATGACAGTGCCACGGTTATTGATTTACACGCTACATCTAGGGATATGAAACAAATTAGACTGTTATCAGCATTATCATGGACACCTATCAGGTATTGGTGGATGTGGGCATGGCCAGGAAAGACTCTTCAATCAACGAGTTTCTCACTGGCAAGTCTACCCCGTTTTTTGGGAAGCTTAAGTATGTCTTACTGCAACGTGTCAGAGGTTCCCAATGATCTGTGTACACTATCTTTGTTGAAGGATTTGAATCTAATTGGTAACCCAATTTTGTGCCTACCACAAAAAATGAAGAGTCTTATTATGCTCGAGACTCTTTTGTTAGATAATTGCACAAACCTTGAAATTCTTCCAGAGCTCCCACCATGGTTGAAGAGGTTAGAAGCAAAATATTGTACTTCATTGAAAAGATTAACAAATTTACCAAACTTGTTCAGATCATTGGAATCACTTTTTTGGGGTTGTGAGCATTTAGTTGAAGTTGAAAGCTTGTTGAATATAAAACCGGTGAGAAGCGCTGACATAGAAATGACAAGATATATGGGCCTGTTCAATTTGAAATCCATAGCAAGCACTGATGTCGAAATGATCAACTACTTGACCAGTACAACCAGGAAGGCTCCTGTCCAGGTCTTTCTCTGTCTCCTCTCTCATGTATAGTTGTTCTAATTATTATATCTATGAACTAGTTGGGCCTAACTGTTTGAATAGTTAAATTTGAATTGTAGATTCTTGATGAAACAGGTACTCTATGAATGTGGCATATATAGCATTTTCTTTCATGGAAGCAAGATTCCAGATGGATTTGGCTTCACAATAATATATAGATCTGTGCTGTCAGTTATTGTACCTTCACATCCCTTTCTCAAAATCCGAGGCTTGAATTCATGTGTGTTATATGCAAGAGAACCAGGCTTGGAATATCGTCTTACTGTTCAGCATTTGATTAAAGTCAGTAATCAGACCAAGGGTCTTATGTGGACCTATTCCCCACTCACAGTAGGTTTGCCTACTGAGAAGGAAGATGTTATGGCTAAGCAATTTTCGATTTGGAAACAACGAATTGGAGTATGGGGACGAATTACGTGTTTCGGTGGAGATGCATGATTTTGTCCGGGTAAAGGAATTCGGAATTCAGCTTGTGTACGAGCCGGAAAGACCTCCTTCTAGCCAGAATAATGTTGTTGCTGGAGATGTGTCACTGTCAGCATCAGAGTACCAAATGTGGACAGGAAAATACTTTCTCAGTAATCATGGGCACCGTACTCATCAAGCTCAATTCCGAAAGAGACAGGAGAATCCAGCACATATTGAGTTTTCATTTGGGCCAGAGTGTCTATTTCATAAACTATTCAAGGCCCGAGGACCATTCGAAACTGTTGTGAAACTTAGAGCATATCCAGCAGATTCCCCATCTGCTTCTCCTCACCCATTTTGGCTAAAATAAAGAGAAACCTTCTCAGTTCTTTATCCAGCATCATTCATTTATGGTTGGAAAGAAACATCAGCATCAGTTTTCTTGGTGAGTATCGTCCCTTTATTCTTTCTTGTCATCTCTTTCTGAATATATACTCATGGCTTTGTTGGATTTGTTGCTCTTTGCTTATTGTCTTTGATTTGTTAATTGAATGAATATATTAAACAAAAAGAGGGGAAAGCTCTTTGAACTCAGAACAACAAGGTCATAAGACCAATCAAGGAAACAAAACCGGAACAGTCCTCATGAGTTAGCAGATGAGGTTTGAAAACCCCTATAGAGCAAAACCAACTTGAGCGTAACAGCAGTGGGACTACATGTATTTCTGAAAAACCTACAATTAGTTTCCCTCCAAAGCCTACTCCTTACAAACGAATCTTGAGTTCCTGCGACGTAGTATTTGGGGTAACTTCTATTTGGACACATTTATATGAGCAAACTTTTCTTATTCTA